TTGTCTAGTTTCCGTCTAAGGGCACGTGCGAAACGGAAACTAGACTACTTCCTTGAAATATAAAAATAAAACAAAAAATAGAAACAAAGTTCAATTCTAAAAAAAAATTTTAATATAGGTAAATCATACCACAGTTGGACATCGATGTTTCAATCATTATAAAAGTACAAGCTAAGTAAATAAAAAAATTTCAATGTACATTAAGGTTTATATCTAACAACAGAAGGTTCATGATCCGCTGCCAGGTTAGGTGCTTGGCGATGAGCACAGGAAATTCAAACTGTGCATTAGTTTCTCAACTGGAGCAGCGAAATGGGAAAATCTTCAAACATTTATTCAAATTTTTCATATTTCCAATCTTCCGCGTTTTTGGCCTTTTCCTACACCGAATATCGATGTCATGGCTGACGATGTGGAGTCACAACAGCTTATGGCTGGCGCGCTTCAGTAACAACCTTTCCCGTCCCTTGAATATTGAAATTCGAATAGCAAAACAGAAGCGCTCATCTCTCACAGCGGGGGGTCTCCCACCATGACTGCCAGCTCGGCATAGACAATTCTCTTGTCATATACCCGCTAGGCGGATTGCGATGCTTTCGGTTGATAGCCGACTGATAGAGCGTTCCCATTCTTGTCTATACTTTGCGATGAGGACTCATCCTACTATATATAATTCACTAAGTATGTCTGTCAGTGTGTGTGTGTGTGTGTGTGTGTGTGCGTGTGTGTGTCCGTCTGTCTGTCACGAAATTCATAGCACCCGTCGCAGTAAGCGTGGAACGTTGGTTCCGAAGAAGTGGTATAGGGGGTGGGACAGGGACATAGTGACAGAAAGTGGTAACAATTGATAAGATCGAATAAGGGGCCTTAGAAGGGGAGGCTCACCGAGTTCCTAACGCAGGCTACAGCAACAATGGGACCATGGATCCAAGAGGTGATATAGGGTGGGAGTAACATTATTGGCGGGTGACAGAAAGCGATAACAGTTGATAAGATCCGATGAGGAGCCTCGGCAGGGGAGGATCACCAAATGTATAACGCAGGTTACAGCAACAGGGGACCTTGTATCCGAGAGGTGATAAGGGTGATATGATAAGTGATATGGGACGGGAATATTACCGGCGGGTGACGGAAGTGATAGGAGCTGAAAGTGACAAGTTAACATGGGAAAATCCGCTTCACCGCTCACAACAACAATGCGATCGATATGACTCAAGTATAACGATCTCAGTGATTCCAACAGAACTCATTCCTCACTGCTTATTAGTAACGACATCATGTACGACCGCTAAGCTAGCTCTATTCCAAATGCACGGTTTGTTTACAGAGATGTTATGAACAGCAGCAATTGACTTAATCACTCTTACCACAATTATCTTCCATCAACAACCTTAGTGAGGGCCATTTAAAGGGTTCCACTGCTGAATGCGGGAGTGCATTCCAAAGCAAGACGCTTTAGAGGACAGAATGCATGAATTATAGGCTGCTTCAGCGGCTAACCTAACAGGCTGCACTATTTCCGTGTAGGTTATGAACGTACCAGTCGGATCGCTGGCTAAGGCCGGCTCTCCTCCTGTGATGCGGCGGGTGGCTGCTGCTTCTGCGCCTTGACGGAACAAGCGCTGCTTTTCAGTTCTTGGCTGATGCAGAAGATTCCTTTGAACAGTGTGGTTGGTCAACGATCCTTAACTTAGCGGCCATGTCACAGAAAGAGGAACGCCCGGCGAAGCTGGGCGATCCGATTGGTATAAGGTTAACCGTTTTGAGCCAAACCGCGTTCTGAGACCATCATCGTTTTGGGCGCCGGTGAGAACCTACACTCTCCTTTCTGTGCAAGGCGCTCGCATTCACTAAAAATGCCGATGCTCTCGAAGCGTCTGCGCAAGGTATGAACGCAGCTTCACTGGAGCTTTACCGGTGCTGTGAAATTCGGAGGTGAGAAGAAAAAGTGGCCTTGGATCGAGTGCAGAGCAGGGTGCTTTTATTTTTTTGGCACTGTCTGTCCCAATCCTATCCTATTAGGTTGTCCGGAAAGTTCTCAGCGTTTTGTGCACCTATTTTTTGTACATTCACTGCTGATTAAAAACTCATTCTGCCTTGCTTCTCAGTAGCACATCCTGTAGAGAATTTCTTGCGCTATCTGATGGTATAATTGCCGTTTCACCATTGCTTGATAAACCCCCTTTTTTCAAGATTTTCAAGCATGTGAAAAGAGCACTTCGGACGATTTTTTTCTTCGACTATAAATTGGGCAATCCGCAATCGAAACAGCTCAACAAATTAACCAGGTGTGGGGGCCCAATAGTGCTAGAGAAAGCACTGTGCGGCAATGGCTCAACAAATTTCGTTCTGGAGATTTCAGCCTTGAAGGTGAACCTCATAGCGGTCGACCTAAAGCAATATCTGACGAGGATTTTAGGGGGATTTTGGAGGCTGACCCATCCCAAACAGTTCGAGAGATAGCAGAAGAGCTAGGCCTTGGCAAATCCACTGTTGCAGATGGTCTGGAACGCATTGGGAAGGTGAAAAAACTCGACAATTGGGTGCCCCACAATCGGAGTGACCGGCAGGAATCGGCACGTCTCGAGGTTCCTTCTGCATTGCTTTTGCGCAGCAGAAACGACCTGTTTTTGGGCCGAATTGTCACCTGTGATGAAAAATGGGTCATGTATGATAACAGGAGACGTTCCGGACAGTGGTTGGATTTCGACGAACCACCGAGGTAATTTTCAAAGCCGAACCCTCACGAAAAAAGATTCTGGTCACGGCTTGGTGGTCATCGGCTGGTGTGATCCACTATAACTTTTTATCACCAGGCCAAACCATCACAGCAGAACCCTACTGTGAAGAAATCGACGAATTGTACCGAAAATTTTGTCAGATGCAGCCAACACTTATCAAAAGAAAGGGTCCGATTCCTTTGCATGACAACGCCCGCCCACACGTTTCACAAATCACTATCCATAAATTGAACGAATTGGGGGTTGAAGTTCTACCTCAACCGCCATATTCTCCAGACCTTTCACCAACCGACTATCACCTTTTCTAACATTTTCAGAACTCCCTTGCTGGAAAATACTTCATCAATCAGGACCAGGCAAAAAAGCCTTCGTGGATTTCGTGAATTTTCGACCACCCAGTTTCGATTAATCCGATGAGTATTAAAAAAGTTACGATCGTTTAAAGTGAAACACCCAAAACGCTGAGAACTTTCCGGACAACCTAATACACTAACTTTGTGTGTAGATTTGTCGGTCTGTAAGTATGTATGCTTGTCGTTCGCTTCACGGGACTAAATAGGTGACTGAACGGAAAAAGCGACCGCTAGCCAATCTGGAAAGTGATCTGTGCAGATGTATCAATCCAATGTTTTGATTGTGATAACGGCCCCACTATATAAGACAACCATTTAGCACACTCCGAGCCATTGCACGAGCTGCTCGCGTGGCAGCTGCTCGCGTGGCAGCTGGACGTGTGCTCGTGCAGGGCAAGGGGAAGGGGTGCGGTGAGGGGGTAAGGGCGTGCGGCCACGGGGTGGGATTAGTGGGGCTGGGCGGTGGGATAGCGTAGAATGTGCCTGGATAATACCACTACGTTGGAAGAAAAAAACATCAGTGAAAGCGATAAGATTAAGAGGAGAGGGATTAACCGCTAGCACAGTTGCGAAACCATCTTTGGCGTGTTATCAATTTGAGGTAATGTTTTGAACATGGTAACACACTGCACTACATAAGACAACCATTTCGGTTTTCTGTGCCATTCTACGACCCGCTCGCGGCAGCTCGACGTGTGTGCGTGCATATTAGCAGAATCCGCTGGGTCATCAGTTGAGCCATGAAGTTGATTGGTCTATCTGTTACGATTCGATCAACACAGCGCAATATCAGCAGCTCAGTGACTGAACGTAATTCCGTTTCCATTATGAATTCGCGCCTGGCGAAGCCAGGTTAGCCCGGCGAAGCCACACTATAGAGAAGGAGGGGAGCTCGGCGTCAGCCGGGCAATCCCACTGGTAGTGTAGTAAAGGTTAAAGTCTTTGATCAATCTATTCGTTGGATGCGGCATGTATTCTACTTTCATTGATGGTGGTGCCCTATACAATGGCTCGATGTGGCCCATACAATGACTTGCGGGGCCAGCCGATGTACAAGTCAGTGTTTTATCCTCCCAGACGAATCTGGTACCAATTTACCGTCCCCGGAGGGTAGAAGGCTTGGTTGGCCTGGGCGGGAGTCGACCCGGGATTCGAACCCAGGACCGCTGGTAAGCGCGCCACTTGTCACTACACCAGCCTCCGCCTTCCCAGTAACATATCAGACACAAAACTGTTTAGAAACATCTAGTTTTACAAAGAAGCGCCGCGATGGCGGGTGCGTCACAGGAATCCTAATGAATTTTCGCTGAAGGAGGCGATTCTCTCCTTCCCCCCCAACCCGCTCGACGGGAGGACTCGGAAATTACTGCGTAAGACGATGGGTGGTATGTGAAAGGGAGGGTGGGGTCATATTTCGGAAAAATTCTCCAACTGCCAATACGTGCCAAGTGTTCGATGTCAGTTGCAGAAATGCCGTTTAGCGCTCAACTTGTCGCGTGGCAGTGTGTGTCCCTGTCAGTTGGCTCGGTGGTGTAATTTTGAGTCACTTTCAAGTCCCATTTCGTACCGCTTGGCACTGTCCATATGATGACACTCACCTCAATGAGTCATCCCTCCGCCGATACTACCCTCTCGAGGCACAGAGCGCGCGGCGCGCGATGTAACCCTGGGGAGGGACTTCCAGCAATTGGTTGAGTTGCACTGACAATATTTTATGAGGTCCTAGAATCTTACAGTGTTTAGACTTCGCGATTCGACGTTTAGTCCCGACTCATGCGCGATCAGCGCCAATCTCTCGCTACGTCAATCGCGCGACCAGAGCGGCCGAATCGCAGAGTATGAATGCGCTCTTATGGTTTCGGAGCAACCAAATTCCCTCAAATGTAGTCAACGTCCTGGTACTTGATTATATCTGAAAAATTGGAAAAGGCTGTGGAATCAAGAGAAGTCCATGAACAAACCTCTTGATTTGATGTAATGTAAACAAAAGCGTTGGCAGATGAGTTCACTGTCACACACATTGAAATGACAATGAAATACTCGACTCCTCTGGTTCCTATCAGCACAGGAAACACTCGGAACGTTACCCAAGCTGAGAGGTAGAAGATGGAGATTGCACAGAATTGTAGTGCGTATCTGAAACCAAACTCGTCTTGAGTATGTTGATCTGCTGCGGAACGGAAATGCTGTTTTTACCTGTACTCCTTCAGTCGATTCTTGCTCCCCACCGCTCCTTTGCCATAGAGATGGGTCATCTTGTACACATAGAAAATTATCTGAACGTTTTTTCAATATTTTTGTTTCGAATTCGTCATTTTATGCTCGATCGCAGATAGCGCTTACATAAGAGTAGCACACAGCACAGATTGATGACGAGGAGATGTTCAACGGTAGATCGACATAGCTGTTAGAGTAGTTAATCACACCGTCTATGGCTGTATATGAATAAGAGAGGACCTCTTGATCGAAGCTGAATCTGAAATAATGCAGTTCCATGAGAGCCATTCCGACACCGTTCGGCTTAGTAGGGAAACGAAACGGAACGCAGGAGGTGCAGGCCACTTTTGAGGAATAAAGAATTCCGTCACCATGCAGGTCTCACCAAAGTGAAACTCGTTAGTTAGCATGAGTTTGCAAAAATAAGGATAAAAGAAAGGATAAAGTCTTCGCCGTTGATCAATCCCTTTGTGGGATGCGGCACGTATTCTACTTCCATTCAGAATCGTAGTGGCTTTCTGATGAGATTTTATAACCACAGCCAAGATATTAACAACTTTTATTTGGCTTACGTTTCGGCCTTGTCGCCTTCGTCGGAGCCTGGAAAGTCAAAGATAAGGTGACCTACCGCCGAATGCCATTTCAGACTTGAAGAACAGCTCACCATAGACTAAAGGCGTCTAGGGAGGTCTCGTAGCTCACAAGCACAAACCAACTAACCTTATGAGAGCACGGCTAGCTTACGTCTCGACCACCGCTAAACTGACTCACTGTGGGTGGCTTCAGCTGACCCAGCCCTTCGACCCGAAGCCGATGGCGATTGAAGCCCACACAGGTCAGCGAAGGGGGCGAGCTCACTTGTTATGGCTAGGCATTCATCTTTCCTGTTCAACTTGGGGTTTTTGGCGCGTATCCAGAAGGCCTCCAAAGTTTTGCGGGCCGACGTGTGAGGCTCTCGCGAGATCCTGACAGAGACTTGGAACTCCGCCCCTCCGTGTGCGTCCACCTGTGTCCACCCAGGGGGTCTGAGGCCTCGATTTCTCCATACCGTCCAGATGTTCCTTCACCCTGGAGCAAAGTGGCCGCCCAGTTTCGCCGATGTATTCGTCCCCACAGAGGATGCATGAGATCAGGTAGATCACACCTGATGCCATGCAGTCACCCTGCTTCCCATGTGGGCAGATAACACAATGGGGGGAGGCAAAACCGGTCGTACCAGCGATTGCGGACCAATTGCTGCTTAAGGGACGCGGGAGGGATCTCGACCACCCGGACCATTGTGTCGAGGTTGGACCTGCGCAGGGCCGTTCTTACGGCGGAGCTGATCCCATCACTGACGAAGGGCAAGCAAAACGGCACCTTCTCGGAATCCTCGTTCGCAGCCCTATCTCGACGCCTAGTGGGTGGTCCAGGGAGGGGTCCATCTTTAGGAGGGTAACCATTGGAGAGAGCTATCTTCCGAGCGAGCTCCAACGACTCCGCTTTCTCCTGATCACCTGACGAGACACCTGACGCGCTACCTCAAAAGCTCGACAGGGCCATAACGAGGGCCCACCTGGAAGACGAGAGCCTTTACCGCCCTTCGTCTGAGGACGAGTACAAAAAACAGTACCGTAGGTTGTACAGGGTATGGACTGATGTGGTGAAGGCGGCACAGCTACCAAAAGTTGTGGGATCACGTCTGAAGTGTGACCTCCCAAGGTGTCCTGTCCTTTATGTCCTCCTAAAAACGCACAAACTCTCGCAGGCCACCCTGTCTTCAACCAGCCCCTCGAATTTCCAGGTGCGGCCAATAATAAGCAGTGTAGGAGGACCCACCGATAGGATATCTTGGCTCCTAAACCAGGTCCTGTGCCAACTTCTACCGTTCATCCCTGCCCACCTCAGTAACACCAACCAATTGCTCGACCAGCTACGGGAGGCCAGATTTAGGAGGAACCATGTGATCGAGTCGTTTGACGTCACGTCTCTTTACACCAACGTGTCAAACGAAGATGCCATGCAAGCCGTTTCTGAACTGCTCAGAGAACACGAGACATCGATAACCATGTACGGCCTATCGACCACCCACGTGATGACACTTGTCAAAGAGTGTCTACAGTGTTCCATATTTAGGTGGTCGGGGCAGTACTACAAGCAGATCAGGGGCTGGCAATGGGCCAGCGGTTGGCACCAGTCCTGGCTATAGCCTACATGTCCAGGATAGAGAAGCCCCTCCTCGAGCGCCGACCTATTTTGTACCGCCGGTACATAGACGACTGCCTTATTGTTTGTTCTACGGCGGCAGAAATGGACACGTGCTTCAGCTTGCTGAACAACCAGGCAGAAAACATCCGATTCACCCGTGAGAAGCCAGTGAACACTTGGCTTCCCTTCCTCAACGTACAGATCCAACTTGAGCGGGGGTGCTATCGGACGAAGTGGTACCGCAAGCCGAGCAACAAGAATATCCTGGTTCATTTCCGGTCGGCGCATCCAGTGAGGACAAAGCGGGCTATCGCCAGAAACATGTTCAGGACGGCGAAGGTGGTCTCGTCAGGTGATCAGGAGAAAGCGGAGTCGTTGGAGCTCGCTCGGAAGATAGCTCTCTCCAATGGTTACCCTCCTAAAGATGGACCCCTCCCTGGACCACCCACTAGGCGTCGAGATAGGGCTGCGAACGAGGATTCCGAGAAGGTGCCGTTTTACTTGCCCTTCGTCAGTGATGGGATCAGCTCCGCCGTAAGAACGGCCCTGCGCAGGTCCAACCTCGACACAATGGTCCGGGTGGTCGAGATCCCTCCCGCGTCCCTTAAGCAGCAATTGGTCCGCAATCGCTGGTACGACCGGTTTTGCCTCACCCCCATTGTGTTATCTGCCCACATGGGAAGCAGGGTGACTGCATGGCATCAGGTGTGATCTACCTGATCTCATGCATCCTCTGTGGGGACGAATACATCGGCGAAACTGGGCGGCCACTTTGCTCCAGGGTGAAGGAACATCTGGACGGTATGGAGAAATCGAGGCCTCAGACCCCCTGGGTGGACACAGAGTGGACGCACACGGAGGGGCGGAGTTCCAAGTCTCTGTCAGGATCTTGTCGCGAGAGCCTCACACTCAGCCCGCAAAACTTTGGAGGCCTTCTGGATACGCGCCAAAAACCCCAAGTTGAACAGGAAAGATGAATGCCTAGCCATAACAAGTGAGCTCGCCCCCTTCGCTGACCTGTGTGGGCTTCAATCGCCATCGGCTTCGGGTCGAAGGGCTGGGTCAGCTGAAGCCACCCACAGTGAGTCAGTTTAGCGGTGGTCGAAACTCAAGCTAGCCGTGCTCTCCTAAGGTTAGTTGGTTTGTGCTTGTGAGCTACGAGACCTCCCCAGACGCCTTTAGTCTATGGTGAGCTGTTCTCAAGTCTGAAATGGCATTCGGCGGTAGGTCACCTTATCTTTGACTTTCCAGGCTCCGACGAAGGCGACAAGGCCGAAACGTAAGCCAAATAAAAGTTGTTAATATCTTGGCTGTGGTTACAAAATCTAATCAGAAGGACGATACCAAGATTCATTGAAAGTCGATCATGGATCCTAGTGGCTTTATTGAATGCGATGTAGCCTATACAATGATTTGGGGGAGGGGGGGCCCAGCCGATGTACAAGTCAGTGTCATTATCCTCAGACAAATCTGGTACCAATTTACCGTCCCCGGAGGGTAGAAGGCTTGGTTGGCCTAGGCGGGAGTCGACCCGGGATTTGAACCCAGTACCGGAGTGGTGGGCGCGCCACTTGTCACTACTTCACCTGCTGCCCAAGTTTGTAAGAATAGCAGCAGAATTCTACAATGCTCCCCCCCCCTGAGCCGAACAGAGCCGCCACTGCTTACCCAGGGGGAGCAATTCAAGATATCTTGCGCCGCTCATTTGCAGTCACAAAAAGTCCCGTAATGAATGAGCAGCAGTCTAATTGCCGTCCTTTCTTGGGTATAGAGCGCATTCCAAACTGCAGAGACGGACGCGACAGTACGCGTATCCAACAGCAAGAGCAATAGTTTTTTTGCCATGATTTGCAAAATAAGTTTCTACTTTATTTCCGGACATTCCTTTCCAATACTGTTATACATCAGGAGGATGAACACTCTATTGTTACTAGAAACGTCACTGTTGGGTATCCCAGCGAAGCAGGAGGTGGTATTTGAACGCGTACCAGATTTGAGTGGGGTCGTACTTGCCCCTGAAGAAGTCTTCGATGACGACATTTCCTCTCACTTGACTTTCGACTTCTTGTGCCTGTGAGCTATACCCCTCTTACCCTTATCCGCTCGACAGCACTTTTCTGACAATAAGTGAAACTGAATAAGCGGTGAGCTTTGGAAAACTTGGAAAACTCTGGAAAAATGGTAGGAAGTTCGCAGAATTCAGGAATCTGGTCTGATTGGGAAGAGGGTCGTACTAGAGAAGGAAATCCTGTGTGAAGGGGAAAAGTCTGTAAAAACTGTCCCCAATAGCAAAAAGAACGCTTTCCGAAATTCTTTCTAACGTGTGGTACGGAAAGAACGTCATCACTGCTACTACTACTGCATCTTACAAGGGAGGTCGTTCAGGCCGTGGTGAGCTTTTTCAAAACGATTTGTTGCATGTTGTAGGGGTCCATACAAGGACCACACAGATGGGTTTCATTTTTGCTAAACGCTATTGGGAATGTCAAAAAAGGAATAAAAACAAATCGCTTAAAATACGCAAGTTTTATCATCTCATTCGCATCTGTTTCAGCTGTAAAGCAGAATACATAGAGTTTATAAAGTGTTTCTCAACTAGACATGAAAAAGAACATTGAATAAGGTCGAAATACAAGTGCCTTACTTGGCATACAGTGAGGTACACTGCAATTTCTTTAGGGGCTTATGCAGCATCCCTTCGCGCTCGCAGTGGCCTTTTAGCGCCACGCTGGCCCCAGATCACGTCGGCGCCATAAATAATTGTCAGAATCGTGATCAGGGCCATTGATTACCCCTGTTTAAGAGGTTTCAGCGAAAAAATTTTTTCGAGTTTCTTTAGTGGTCATGGACCTGACCATTTGGATGGCAGTGACAGGCGAACCCTCCGTTAAGTATCCTCTCTGGCAGACGAACCGCCAGAAATTTTTCATTTCTTGCCCCTCAACTTCAGTAGGTCTTCATAGAACATCGAGCTAGCTTCTCTACACGAACAACG